AAAACGCTATTTAAAAATTTTTTCTATGAGAAAGTTTTTGCAGTTGGAAAACAATAGACTTTTTTATGCAGGTAGAAATTGCGCAGTGTGCATTCAACTCATCATTGTCATCACCGATCATTTCATCGGTAGATTACATTTGTAGGAACTTATGTTGACCAATTGAGAATGGAAGCAGGGAGCCGGATTTATGATAAATTTGTCCTTTTATTTTGAAAGTTGGCGTGAATTAAGCTGTTACGATTTCTGCGCCGATTCGGTGATATATCCAAAAGCAAAATTTTTAGTGGTCCTGGCATTTCTCAAAGTTGAGGCAGTTTAAGTTTGAGGCACTCCTTTCATTTCAAAATTATATATGATCATATAAGTTGAGGCACTCCTTTCATTTCTCATTAAATTTCAGAGTATATTCATTAGATGGGTTGTACCGGGATGCAAAACAATTGTAATTACGTGATTCCTGAGCACGAGTGGTGTTTGATACCGATCTGCTGTTTTCGTTGACTCTTTCAGCCACTCACCTGTCGCGTTCATTCTGTTGAGAATGGAGCAGATCTGAAACTGCAGAACGCGATCGCCGTGCTCGCAACCGTACATTTTCAAGTCTGGCTGCACGTCATTCCATTATTTCTTCGGCATATATTTGAGCCATTCTTTGCCTGTTTCGCTGTTCACTGATGCCTGTTCTTCTGCAATTTGATTCAGAATTACTCGTCGCCCTGTTTCCGCTCCGCGAGTACGACGACCTAAGTTTAATCCTCTTCGAAGCATTATTTCGATGAACTAAAACAGATCGACTGCATTCAAAAAGAATGGGAAAAGTTGTAGCTAAAACATTAAAATTACAAAACATTGAAAAATGAAAAGACACGAATTGAAAAACAAAAAAAGGAACAAAAATAAAACTAAAAATACTAGCGAAATAAAACACAGATCAATCGATACACTTTGCACTGAAAAATAAGAAAAATAGCTAAAAAATGAAATGATAAACAATGAAAAAAAAAGAAAACAAAAACTATACCAACGGAATGAATGCTATGAGATAACTCAATTCCTAACGCAGTACCACGCGAAATAATTAAATCAAAAAGAAAATAAATCGAAATCAGTGAAAATTAATTTAACAGTGTAATCGGAAATAATGAAATGGAATAGTAAAGTATTTAATATAATGTGTGTTGCTTTTAGTCCAACAGACAGAGTGTTTTTCAAAAAAAAGCATGTTTTTACCTATCACAGGTTGAAATCTATGTAGTAATAAAATATAAAAGCATGCGCTACTCAAGTCAACGTTGCTTCAAAATTTTGAAACAAAGGGTGAAGAAGTTTCGAAGATTTAAGATTTTGCACAAACGAATATTTACATTTTTATTTATATATATATAAAATATGTATAAATATAATAAATAAATAGATTTACATAACCATGTACACAATCATAATGTGTATAGCCGATTTTCCAGATAGACATTATATATATATATATATATATAATTTAGATTATATTTAATTTATTACATAATACATATATCTACTTTTCTAAATTAATAAGGAAAGTTAGAGGTAAAAAACTGTCGAAATTTTAGAGTGTAAGATAAAAATATTATAAATGAAATGAGTGGAAAAAAATGATGTTAGTTAACACCATGCAAAATTTCGTTTTATTTTTTTTATAAATACTCAAAATAAAAATTCGCATGAAAATAAATAAAAGCCTATGAAAATGGTGTTAACTAACACCGAATGTTTTCAAAATCTTACATCAATCATATTATCAAAAATAAGAAATTTATAACTGAGGTTTTTTTTTCGTTTCCATTTTCTTTTAGGCCTTTTTGTCGGATTTATTGTCATTCGATAAATTGTATGATTTTTTAACGATGCAGATTGCATTAGCATAACTTGATCATTATCAATATTGCTACTTCTATTCATTTATTCTCTAACGTTGTTAACTTTATCAGTTTATCTTTCATATCGAAAACTGCAATTTTTAAATCAACTAGAAATCATAAAAAAAATTCTAATAAATTGCTTTGAAATGTCTTTTTACTATTTCTCCTACTGAATGAAGGTAAAGGAACCGAATTTTATTTCAGTAATCAAAAGGAAGACTCATATCAATGTGTTTTCCTAAATGATAGTAAGGAAAAAATGGAATTCGAAAAGTGAAGACTCTTCACTTAATTGTTTCAATATTACTGTGCTGTCGGAAAAACCGAAATAGCTGTATCATAAAATCATTCATTCAAATAGATCGCATTTACATATTTTTTTCTCATGCTTAAAGTCATGAGTCAGATATCTAATCTACTGAAAGTGCTTTTTCTGATGTTAAGATTTGTGCATATATGGTAGCTAATTTGTAAAGGCTTTATCCCATGCAAAAAAATCTTGATACAATGGTGAGAAAGTTGTACATCAGATAAAATAATTTCTATGCAATTTTTTCTAAAGAAAACTGTTCTTATATGTAAATTTCTCTTGCACCTGTGAGAATACTGTCAATATGTAATGATTGTTCCTCTTCACACATCCCATATATAAACCCTACGAACTTTAACAAGATCCAGTGTTAATTTTCTCCACGTCGCCATTCAACTCTACTCAGTGCAATCCTGATTTATTTCCT